GGGGCGAAGAAGAGAGCAGAGAGAGCACGGAGGGGGAAGCAGAGAGAAAGAAGAGCCCGGGGGAGCCCCAGCGGGAGCAGGAGCAGAGAGAGGGACGCAGCGCGGAAGAGAGAGAGCGGGACGGCAATGGAACAGAGAGAGAGGGGCAGCAGGCGGAAGACGAGAGAGCGGGAAGACGGGCAATTGGGAAGAGAGAGAGAGGCAGGCAGGGCGAAGAGAGAAGAGAGCGGGAGGCGAGGCGCGGCAAGAGAGAAGAGCGGGAGGTAGGGGAAGAAGCAGCAGACGCAGAGGGGAGGCAGCGCGGGAAAGACAAGAGAGACCGAGGGTAGGGAGGGGAAGAAGACGAGCAGAGAGCGGGAGGAGGGAAGAAGAGAGAGATGAGGGCGAGGCGAGGGGAAGCAAACAGAGCACAGGACGAGGCAGGGAAAAAGAGAGAAAGAGGGAGCAGGCGAAGAAGACGAGAAGAGGCGTACGGCTAGGCGCCAAGAAGAGAGAGACGAGCGAGGCCAGGCGCGAAACAAGCAGCTGAGAGAGGAGAGAGGCAAAAGAAGACGAGAGAGAAGAAAGAAAAGAGAGAGAGAGGCGGAGCCAGGGCGGAAGAAGAGCAGAAGAGGGAGCAGGGAAGAAGAGAGAGAGAGGGGAGCAGGGGAAGAAGAGAGAGAGAGGAGGCAGGAGGAAGAGAGAGAGAGAGGGGAGGCAGGGGGAAGAAAGAGAAGAGAGGGGAGGCAGGGGAAGAAGAGAGAGAGAGGGGAGGCAGGGGGAAGAAGAGAGAGAGAGGGGAGGCATGGGAAGAAGAGAGAGAGGGGGGAGGCAGGGGGAAGAGAGGGAGAAGGAAGGCAGGTGGAAAGGAGGAGGGAAAGGAGGAGGTGGAAAAGGAAGAGGGAGGAAGGAAGGCAGGTGGAAAAGGAAGAGGGAGGAAGGAAGGCAGGGAAAAGGAAGAGGAAAGGAAGGGGAAGAGAAGAGGAGAAAGAGGAGGGAGGGGGAAGAGGAGGAGCTAGACCGAAGGGAGTGTTATCAAAACATCCTGAAACCACACTTTGTACTCACTCATGCCAACCATCTTGTCAGGGATCCTGATCTCTTCGGAATCGACTGCCTCCCCGCCACGTGCTCCTCCTGGAGTACCCCCAGGGGTAAACATTTTTCCATGATATTATTGCTTTGTTTAGGTTTGTCTTAAACTCTTACATTTAAAATTAATTTTACTCCAACTCCACAAATAAGTACATAGCTACAAGAGAACTGTAATAATAATAGACCAAGCCAACATTTTCAACATAATCAAAGACCTAGGCACTACATATCAATATAACCTAGCAAACAGATTTAAAAAAAATTCTGGGTGATCTCTGATTGTGCAATGATACAGATGAAAAATATTAAGCATATCTTATATCAAAATACAGCCATTTTGAAAATGACTTTAAACTATCGAAGCAATCATGGGCTTTTTATTATAATGTATCACACTGACCTAGGCTTATCTTCTGCCCATCTAAAAGGCTGGTAGAAAGAGCTTCAGTCCAACAAAATAGTAAGATGATAGAATGTTCACAAATTCAATAATTGGAAAAAAAAGACGACAATCCTGAACAAGATCTCTAGAGTTTCAAAGAAATGCTACTAAGCAAGGTAAACAAAATTTCAAGTTTAGCTACCACTTCTATTGTAGGAATACTGTTAACTTAAGACATTGAGTTTTATGGTCCCAAATAAATATATCAGTATTAAATACACTCCAGCCTCCCTTGATTTTTCACATTCTTTTTATGCAATACTTTCTTTTTTTTATGTTCCATCATTTTCAGGAAACTAGGCATCAGTATAATTAATCACATCTTACAAATTTGTTTGCTGCTAAATGGAGAGTACTATGCTTCCTCTAAAGATGCATCCATACATAATATATTAAAACAAATTAAATTTACACCAGACTCATCATATACTGAAAACAAGTAAATATTTGAATGGTTGTCCTCACATCAGTTTTGGCAATTATCCAACATTTATAAGAATTCATCCTCCACTGATAATCAATGTTGCCAATAACATGTTTATGATGTTTTACTGCAGTATGGATGCACCATAAAGTGTAAAACATTTTACACAGACAGAAATTCTGTAGAGGCCGTGCTCTTCTTGTTTAGTTAACTCTACTCTTTCCTCTCCAATTACACAAGTTCTTAACCCTAAAACCAAGGCCTATAAAAGTAAGGTCTCGTCACTTTGGCGTGACCTCTCATGCAGAATTGCATTATAGGTGCTTTTCTGAGAAGATAAGAGTTCACCGCTATCCAAGGCAGTCAATGTAAACATCTTGCCAGTACTGGGCTGAGGTGACAAGTGTGTTTAAAACATACAACTCTCATCAAGATATCAATTTGGGATATACCTGAGTGCCTAGCAAAGATCTGCCCATTCACGTAAGTTAATACAAGGCTACCAAAAGGCAGTCCTTAAAACAAAAATCTCTCCATAACAGGAAGATCTGGAATACAAA